AAGTAGGTGCTTTAGACCACTGAGCCATCTCTCCAGCCCGACCTGGTGCTTCTTGATGACCACTTGGTGGTACCTGGGCTCTGAGTGGTGAAATTGTATTTGCAGACAGTCTTGTGTTAGGGACCTGGCCTAAGGACACTTGTAGATTTGCCAGTGCCATACACACCCCTTCTCTGCCCTGGCACTCCATTGTCCTTGTCTAGATGAGGACCTGGCCAATTTTTGCCCTCGTGGGTGGGCTGAGCGAGGCTGTGGGCTGCCCCAGAGAGCAGCAGAGGGGCTCGGCTGTGCTGAGGATAGGCGCCTCCTGTTCCTGGGAGCCAGCCACAGCCTCTAATTTCCTGTGACAGCAGCAGCCCACTCACCGCCCAGAGCTGCTGTATTGTCAGAGCTATTCTTGGCCAGGCCCTCACAGCTGTGGCGTGCTGGCCCCGCCCTCGGCTGCCTCCTAGAAGGCAGGGTGGCAGTACTGAGGCCCAGCAGTGTGGGCTTGGTCCTGGTGCACTGTGGCCCCTGCATGGGGCTTCTAGGCCCTAGAAGGCCCCTGCATGGGGCAGGTCAGCAGGAGGGCCCTGCAAGACCCACATGATCCTCTGTCCTGTGGCCTCACGCTCTGTGGCCAGAGGGCTGAAGCTATGCAGGCTGCCCTCGGCGCCACTGACCCCCGTGTTCTCTCCACAGGTGGGCGCTTCTGCTCCTTCTCACCGTGCATCGAGCAGGTTCAGCGCACATGCCAGGCGCTGGCAGCCCATGGCTTCACTGAGCTGAGCACCTTAGAGGTGTTACCGCAGGTCTACAACGTGCGCACTGTCAGCCTGCCCCTGCCTGACCTGGGAGACAGTGCAGGCACTCCCACAGTCCCGGATGCCAGCCCCTTCCGGAGCGGCACACCCATGAAGGAGACTGTGGGCCACACAGGCTACCTGACCTTCGCCACTAAGACCCCGGGTTAGCAGCCTGGAAATGCTGGGGGCACCGTGCGCAGGCAGGGAGGCCAGGCCACCTTATATGGTCTGGGTACTCTGGGCCTGAGGTTGAAAATGGATGTGGGTGGGGCTTGGGCTTCCTGGGTGGCCCTGAGGAAGAGAGCTAGCTGCTCCTGTCCTGAGGGTAGGAGCCTCCTGTCCGCATCCCTGCCAAGCTCTGGCTCTGTGCCACTGCCCTGGAGTCTCCTGGTGCTGAGGCAGGGGCTGGAGACATGGCTCAGTGGAATATGCGCTTCCCTGGCAAGCGCAAGGGCCTGAGTTCAATCCCCGGTTCCACAAAAAAACCCAAAAAACAGTGTAAATCCTGGTGCTGAGGCCATGCAGTGCAGTTGGGGTGGCGATGTCTGACCCTGTCCCTGCGGACCTCTGCAGAAAGCTGGTGGAGAAGGTATGGCCACTGCCCCAGGCCTGTGCTGTTCCACAGGGGCTTTGGCTGGCTCAGGACTAAGCCCGGGTTTTGCTGTGAGGTGTCCTAGGGCTTGGCCAGAAGCCAGGCAAAGCTTACCTGGAGACCCTCATACTGTCCCCGTGCTACCTGCCCACCAGAGCCCCTGTTGTGTGATCAAGAAAGCCCCACAGCATTGCAATGGCTGGGTGGGCCTGTGTCCCCAGCCAATGTCACCCAGACTTAGGTTCCCCTGCTGTTGCGATCCCAGGCATCAAGGAGCAACCCCTCCAGCAGTGGTGTTTGGCAGGGGATAGTGCATCCTTAGATGACATTTGTCGCTACCTCTGCTGCACAGCCCCTGGGCCTGATATCCTGGTGTTTGTCCAGGTCAGACCAGGAGGCAGCCGTCAGGACCCAGTGCGCCTTGTTGGGACTTGAGCCTTGGGCACAATGTTTCAGCGTCCTGTGGGCGGACCCCCGAGTGCCTGCAGAACAATAAATACGCTGCGTGGAGTGGCCCCCCGGCTATCTGAGCAGCTGTCCCGAGCTGCTGTCCTAGCCAGCCTGCCCACACACGGTTCCTGCCCTGTCTCCCACCCAGGGTAGGTCGTGCAGGAGCGCCAAACGACTTGGGACAAAGGGGTGAGTGTGTGGCCACCCCCACCAGCTGCAGAAGGGTCCCTTGTCCCCAGGATGTGGGGGCATGGGTCTGTCTGAGCCAGGGCTCCCTCCCAGCCTCTCCTGCAGTGGCTGAGGGGAGCACCGGACGCTGGGCCCCAAGGTGGCTTGGGCTGTGACCCTGTGCTCAGGCCCTGCTTTACCTGCCCTAGTGTGCCTGTTGCCGAGAAGCATCACACTGCCAGGCACCTGTGTGTGGGTGTTGAGGCCTGTCTCCCTCAGCAGATAGATCAAGGTCCTAAACCACGAGCCCTTCACTGGGATGTGGCCCACTTCCTGGGACCTGCCTGACCTCTCACCTCATGCCTGGCCTGGGTCACAGGACAGGCCCGCTTCAACATGATCCCCACCTAGTGTTCTGTCCCACAGCAGAGGCTCAGGAGAGGTCCACCCTGCACAGCTGCCAAATACACGGGTCTTGGGTTTGGGGCCCTAGTCACACCCACTGTCCAGATGGGCTGAGAGCCCTGGGGAACACAAGGTCAGGGCCTATGTGGGGTGGGGGCAGTGAGAAGCCAAAACACCAAGCCCTGAGGGACAGCTGCTGTCCACATCTGGACTGTGTGTGCTGACAGATGTGTTATTGGGCTGACCTCAGTGTGCACTGGCCCCGCCCTGCCCAGCGTCACACAGCTTCCACCCATGCAAGTCCTCCCCTGCCCTGAGCAGCAGGCGCCTAAGTGTCCTTGCAGGCTCTGCCATGTGTCCCTTTCCTACAGCTGCTCCTCTCGACCTGCACATTCCCAGGCCGGAACGCCCTGCATGGCCACCAACTGCTCTGTCCCACAGGGACCCGCACAGGCTGCCCCAGTCTGGGGGCCCTGCTGCAGAGGAGCAGAGGGCGGGCTGCCTCCCAGTTCTGCAGATGGGGAGCCTTATTCCCACAGACAGGGCACTGAGTGCTGGTCAGCAGGTCGTGGAGTCAACAACACGGGGCTCCTCGTGGGGCCAGTGCTGGAAACTCCCTGCCCAGCCCGACACTTGCTCGGTGCTCAGTTTTTCCTTAGCAGCTTGTCCGCACCCACTGCTGTGCCTGCCAGCGTGGCTGAGGGGAGCACCGGACGCTGGGCCCCAAGGTGGCTTGGGCTGTGACCCTGTGCTCAGGCCCTGCTTTACCTGCCCTAGTGTGCCTGTGCCCTGCACGAGCTGCTCCTGACCTGGGGTGGCCCACTTAACCTGCCCTGCCTTTTAGCCAGTGTCCTGGGCTGGGGATACCAGGCCACAGGAGCAGGCTCCTTCCTCTCACCCCTCTGAAGGTCTGCTTCTACTTGGCCCTGGGCCTGTGACCCAGAGTAGGTGGGCAGCTGGCCAGGCCCTGCCCTGCCCCACCCCACCTTGCACAGGTGGAGAAACAGCTCAGAGGTCACAGGGCTGCCCCAAGCACGGCCCTGGGGTGGGTAGGTGAGTGGGTGGGGGAGGGGTCTTGCCCCAGCTCCTCATACCCCAGAATGAAGCAAGAGAAGGTGCTTGTGTGGGACACAAGGGGCTTCCTCGGCCTGTGGACCAGGCAGACCCTGGCACACAGCCTGCCCTGAAGCCTTTGGGGAGCCCGCCGTAAGCAGGCACATGGTGAGGGCACTGCTGCAGGAGTCAGAGAAAGGTGGGCTCCTGAGCACACCCTAAGGCCACAGAGGGGCAGGTCATTGTGAGCAGTGGGGTTTTGGGGGACATTTGGGAGCACACACCCCTGCCCCTTGGTCTCTGGCCTGTCCAGTCTCCCGGCCGTGCAGACTGCCTGAGCTTGCCTCTGCAGGGGTTGGTGCTGGCAGCTTTCCATGTGCCACTGTGATTGTTATTACTAATGGGAACCACTGCCTTGGGGCCTTCTTGGGGTTCAAGCTGGAATTGGGGCACACTTCTACTCTGGGGGGTGCCCTGTGTTTCTTGGGATGCCTGTAGCTTTTTGCACCATCGAGGGCATTTGCGTAGTTACCAGCATTACCAGAGGATTTGCAGTCAGGACTTCTCGGGGGGGGGGGGGGGTCCAGGCCATCTGCTGCTAGTTATGTACCGGCTGGAGTGGGAGGTAGGGACACAGCTGGAGCCCGGCAGACAGGGAACCTCACATGACCCCCCAGCTAGACGTGCTGTGGCCATTGCCCCCCAAGCTCACCACAGCATCTGGTCAGGAGTGGGCTTAGGCCCGTCCACACGGGCTGACCATGCCACCGCCTCTCCACTCACGGGCTGGTGGCCAGCATCACAGGCTCAGCTCCTCAAGCCCACCCAGCAGGATGGCGCTCTCCAACTTCAGTGCAGGTGGTCTGCCAAAGTGATACTGGCCAGGGACTGGGGAGATGGCTCAGTGGAATAAGCAGTTCCCTGGCAAGTGCAAGGGCCTGAGTTCAATTCCTGGTTCTGCCAAAAAAAAAAAAAAAGTGATACTGGCCAGCACACATCCAAGGGGACCTGGGGCATCTGGGAAGGGCCTGGGGTCAGGGGAGGGTGAAGGAGATTTTGGTTCTCTCTGGAGCTCATCCTCAAGGAAAGTGGCTTCTCGAGGTGGTCCAGCAGGCAGCAGTGGGCACAGCTCGGAGCTCTGGGGGTGCTGCTGACCTCAGAGCCCATCTGGCAGTCCGCATGATCCACTCTGGGAATGTGGTGTCAGGCTGTATCCAGAGGGTCATCAGCAGGCAGGGACTGGGCTGGCCCCCAACTGCTCCCTGTGCCTGGAGGCCCTCTGGCTTGTAGGAGGGCGTTTCAAAGTCAGTCCTCCAAGGCAAGAGTGGCGGGAGGGAATAGTGTAGCTCCCACCAGGCTGAGAATAGCTCAGAATTGGGTCACGCTCAGCGAGAGCTCCGGTCACAGCCTCCAGCCTTTGGCAATAATCTCCTTTCTCCCGCATCTGTCCTCTCCGAGTGGGGGCAGTAGGGTCAGGCCCAGATTCAGGAGAGCAGGTGGGGGTGGGTGGAGGCTGATTTTAAGGTAGAGGCTTCACCTGCAACCCTTGCTACTCTACCTGGTCTCCTTGCAGGCCAGCCTGTCCCCTCCTGCCCATGGCTCTGCTTCCGTCCACCATATGACTGAAGGCATTTCATGTGAACAGGGCTGGCCCTGGCTTTTCCCTCTGTGCTGAGGGTTCAGTGGCTTGTGCCATCTTGCAGGGTGCTGTCCACTGTCCCCTGCCAGCCCATCCTCGGTGTACGGGGGAGCAGGCCACCTTCCTTGAGGCTTTGGGAGCCTCATGTTTCTCAGACTATGTCCTGCCCCAAGATGGCACCACATTGCCCACCGGGCCCAGGTGGGATTCTTTCTTATCAACCAGGCCTCCTTTTGTCCCCACAGAGCCCAGGCCAGGCTGGAGCAGCTCAGAGGTAGGGCACTGGCATAGCCTCTCAGGCCTGGGCTCTGTCCCCTCCACTGCCAAAAAAGGATCATAGAGCCTTGCAGCCATAGCCTGCCTGGTGGTGCTGGCCTCAGCAGCCTCCTGGGGCACAGCCTCCCTTCTGGCCTGCGGCCTGGCTGGCCTGATGTGCCTGTGTGAGGGTGGCAGAGTCCCTGCGCTTGTGAGTGTAGACCAATCAGGCCCCGCCCCATGCTCCTACTCTCAAGGTGAGAGCTGGGCCAGTCTCTGTTCCCTCTGCTGTAGCCACTAGGAGCCTCACTCAGATCTGCTGCCCACCTCTGCGTACAGAACTTCCCTCACCCTTGCAGGCATGGTGGTGCACGCCTGTGATCCTAGCACTGAGGAAGCTGAGGCAGGAGGATTGCTGCATGCATACTGAAGGCCAGCCTAGGTGATGTAGTGAGACCCTGTCCTTCACCTTGTTCCTGCTCACTGAGTCCCCCCTCCTCTTTCCAGAGCAGGCCTGAGGACTGAGGTGGGTGGTGTCCTAGGGCCTTGCCACCTGGGTTCACTGCCAACAGGAGTTGGCAAGCCCACCCTTGTCCCCAGGTATAGGCACCTCGTACCCAGCTACACATGCCATCCCTGTCATGTGCCAGGCCCACAGTTCTTGGTTCCGTAACCTTAAAGACCACGAGCAGCGCTCATGTTCCGGCAGAGGCCGGGGGTTGAATCTCCAGGTGTGCTGCCTCTGGGTCCCTGCTGAGCAGGCTTCTCAGGAGGTGGTCCTTCTGGGCCCTGGGCCAGACCTGCCAAGCCAGACTGGGGTAGCCAGGGGCCC